TGTACAAGGGTGTGGTTTAGCTCTGATATTTCTTTGTTGGTTTTTTATTTAGTTATTCTCTTTGCAAAAGCAGGATGTTAAAATCCTATACTGTGATTGTGTTAATATTTATTTGATCTTTTTAATTTCAGTAGTTTTTGTTTTATAAAGATAGGTGCTCCAGTATTCAATGCATATATGTTTATCAATGTTATCTCTTCTTGTTGGATCATTCTGTTAAATAGTATGTAGTGTGTAGACCTTCTTTGTCTCTTCTAATCAGTTTTAGCTTGAAGTTTACTATGCCTGATGTTAGAATTGCTACCCTTCCTTATTTACTGGGACCTGGTGCATGTAATATCATTTTCCATCCTTTAATTTTTAATCTGTGAGTATCTTTTATGATTAGATGAGTTTCTTGAATGCAGCAGACTGTTGGATTCTGTGTTTTGATCCAGTCTGCCAGTCTATGTCTTTTGATTGGAGAGTTGTGGCCATTAATATTGAGAGATATTACTGAGATGTGTTAGTTATTTACTATCACTGCCTTCTTTATCTGTTGGTGAATCATTGGCTTTTTTTTTCCTGACATTTTTTGTTGTTTATCCACTGACTCACTGATTTCCTTTGTGTTTTTAGCTGTGTCCATTTCATGATTCCCGTTGAGAATATTCTTAAGTATTTTCTCCAGAGCTGGTTCACTCCTCATTTTTCTTTTGAGCTGGTCTTTTGCATGGAAATACCTTATTTCTCCATCTATTTTGAAAGATAGCCTTGCTGGGTAAATTAATCTGGGTTGGAAATTATTTGTTCTTAGAGCTTTCAATACTTCACTTGAAGCTCTTTTGGTCTTTAAGGTTTGTGTTAAGAAGTCTGCTGTGATTCTCATTGGTTTACCTTTGTATGTGATTTTTTTGTTTTTTTTCTGGCTGCTTTTAAAATTCTGGGGCTTTTTGGGTGGATATGTGGTAATTTAATAAGGATATGCCTTGGTGAGCTTCTTTTATTATCATAATTGTTTGGTGTTCTATATCCATCATCTACTTGTATTTTAACCTCTTATATTTGGGAAATTTTCTTCTAGGATTTGTAAGCATGTTAGTAAATCCACCTATGCTATCTTCTAGTTTTTCTCAAACTTAGACTGGTCTTCTTATTGTCATCTACTAGTTGCTGGATAATCCTCTCTTGTTCTCTTATTTTCTTTGTGGCTTCTTTGAGTTCTTCATTGTAATTCACAATTTTGTCCTCAATATTAGACACTCTGTCTTCATATTGGTAGTTTCTGTAATTTATGCATTCTGTACAGTTTTTTTTAGTTCAAGTATTCTGTTATGTATTCCACATCTTTGTTGACTCTGTCATTCAAATGTTGAATGGTCTTGGTTAGCTCATCGAGTTTTTTACCTATTTCTCTGAAATTCACCATGGGTATATTGAGTACAATTGATGTGAACTTTGGGTTCATTTCCTTTGAGCTCATCTATGTTCTTCATCCCTTCTAGGAACTTTTCATAGAGTCCTACTACTTGGTATTTGTTTTCTTCTCCCTTTGTGACCCCTTGCTCTGCCTTGGGAGAATTAGATGAACCCAGGGATCTTCTGTTGCCTTGCTTCCCCTTCCTTGTAATGTGTATCTGTATTTCATATATATACACACCCCCTTTTACCCCTCCTTTTTTTTTGCTGAGGCAGTACTGCAGGTTGAGAACTAGAAAAGTGAGGAGAGTTTGTGGTTTACATGGAGATGTTTAGTAGGATAGTACCTCTTCATGCATAATTTTCAGCTTTGTATGTACAGTGCAAGTATTTACTTCTGTTATTTACTGTGATTTGGACTCTGTCCCTATGTTTTGCTGAAAGAATTACTTCTCGTTATAACATCATCAACAGATTCAATCATACAACACTTCTATATGACAGTCCTTACAGTTCACACTTCCCTCTTTTGTCTATCCTTTATGCGGACTATGACCTTTTATTATTTGTGACTGTTCTGCAATGAGGTAAGTGAAATGGAGGGAGGAGCATGGAGGGTGGTTGGATGAGGAGCATTGGACATTAAGGGGGAGGTTTGTAGGGGGATAGTGACAGATGAGAAGTTTGATGTAGGGTCTGATTCTATTGGAGTGCTTTTAGTTGAGTTGAAGAATTATACTGAGAGTTCTCAAAGGATATTTGTGGGGGCAAGGATGAGATGTAGGAGAAAGGAGACTTACTTTGTGATTGAGGGAAGCTGTGTGGTGGTCAGAACTTGCTAATAGGAAGGCCAATAGGCTAGGGAAGATATAGAAGAGCCAAAGGCTTAGGATGGAGGATCGAGGGTCAATACTAGAGAAGAAAGGAGTTTCTGTGGGGAGCTAAGTATGGGAAAATAAGAATTTGAGAGGAGGAGTTTACGTGTTTGGGAAAAGAATAAAGAAATATGGTAGTAGTATTGCTTTGGAGGTTTGAGGTGAAGAAGGTAGATAGGGAGCTGAAACAAGGGAGAGAACCTAGACACCTATTAAATCAGAGCCAGTGGGGAAAAATACACAAAAGTAAAATCCTAATAAACCTAAAAGAACATAGCATAACTTCACACTACTAGTTAAATCAAGAAACAAACAACTCAAACCTGTAAGATATCCAATGGGCACACAGATTAAATATTCCAGTGAGGCAGTGTATGCGATCCACACATAGCTCCTTTGCCAGAGAGTCTGAGTGCTCACACCCCAGTGACTCCTGAATCTTCTACTGCAATACTGAAGCTAACTCACACTCAAGGCTTCCTTCAGCCAGGTTGCAGGTGTTCTTGCAGAGTCTGGTCCAGCTCGAGTTCTTGGGTTAGGAACTTCTGCTGTACTTCTCCCTGGGTGTGACGGTGGAATTGGCAGATGATTCACTGGCCCAAAATTGTCCACCAAATCAGGAGTGTGCCTGTGCAATCAAATCAGCCATAGCAGTAACAAGCTAATCAGTTACAGTGGTATGTATTTGGGCAAGTTGAGAACATACCAGGAGGCCCAATTTTGGATCTCCCTTTAGCCTAGAGAAGAAATCTACAGTTGTATGGTAAGTATCGTAATAGCCCAGGTATTGGCCCACAGCTAATATGCCCTAAATGCAGTAGCTCTGTCTCCTTTTACGGTAAAAGAAAAAAAAAAGAGCATTCAACAGTAATTTTATAGAATCAATTATCTAAAGCCCAGAGAGTTTGGGACTGGGTGATGGGCTTTTTTGTTTTTTTAACAAGTCTTCTGCTATGTGGTATGGAGATGGGGAGATAGGATCCTAATGGTGGTAGAGTTATGTTACATATTTTGATGGGATAACAGGGAAAACTGGATACAGAATCCATAGTGAGAAATGAGGATGAGAAAGGATTCTACAGCTAACATAAATATTAGAGAAAAAGTTAAAAGGAGATGGATGAAGAAGGGGGAAAAGAAAAATAGAGGAAGGATAAGAAACAAGAAAAAGAAGTCAAATGAGAAGATATGGACAAAAGTAGAAGGAATAAAAGGGGAAAGGGAGGATTCCCATACCCTCTACAAACTATATTGGAAGAAAAGGGCAAAAAGAAGAGAAACACACATGCGCACTCACATTCACACACACTTTTAAAGGGGCAAATAATGGAATAAAAGTGGGGAGGGATAAACAGAAAGAGGAAAGCAGCAAAAATAAATAATAAATTAATAAATTAATAGGTAGAGTTTTCTATTGTTTTAGACTTGTAGCTCTTTTCCACAGCTGAGGAATAAGGAACACAAGACATGATTTTGCTCACACTGGAAGTCTAAGGTGATAGTCTGCCCCCCGAATGGTGCTGGATGCAGACATCCACATCCAGTGAGGACAGGGTACCAGTGTGACCTTCCTATGCCGTGTAACTTAGGCTGAACCTGGCCTCAGACCGCAAGACCTGGCTCCATGTTGACCAGCCCCAGCCCCTCAGCTGGACTCCCTCTGGCCTCCTCTTCAACTGCTGGCCATCTCCAGTGGCTGTCCTTCCGTCGTCCACTCTGGGGACTTGACAGTGTGGAGCATGGCTTGGAGCCAGGGGGCTGCTCTGGGACTCAGGTTCGAATGCTGAACCCTTCCCTATAACTGTGTCCCCTCCAGCTCTTGTTCTGCAATTGTGGCAGCAGGCTCTGGACCAAGGTCACTCGCCAACTAAACTGTTCGCTGTGGAAGGCCACGCTGGGAGCAGTACCCTGTGTTGTTTTCCTTGCAGGTTCCAACCGCTACGCAGTCTTCCAGATCCTTCCTTCTCAGTGGCTCTTTCCTCAGCTTTTATGTGACTCCTCCTCTAGTCAGCCATGTTGAATCCCCCACTCTCGACTTTTATGTTGTCCAACATCAGGTTTGGCTGGCACTTCTGCTGTCCCATACAGAGGGGAAACAACCTAGAGCCAGTTCTGAGTTGGCAGTGGCCCAGCCAAGGTGTGGAATCCACTGTTGTGGAGTTGGTTGGGGGCCAGCCCACTCATCCGAGCCCTCTCTCGAGGTGGCACCCAGTTATTGTGTTTTAATGCATCAGTGAGATTTTGAGGCAGTAAGACGTGCTTCATGTGACTTCTTTTTTCAGGTGCTTTCTTTCCTTCCATGTGGCTGAGGGTGGAGAGAAGTCTGTCTTTCTATGCTTGAAGGATTGAATCTGCTTATCAAAGCAAAGACTAGGGGCTGGGGATTTAGCTCAGCGGCCAAGCGCCTGCCTGGCAAGTGCAAGGTCGTGAGTTCGGTTCCCGGTACCGGAGAAAAACCAAAAAAAAAAAAAAAAAAAAGCAAAGACTGGTCCGGCTCTAGCTCCTTTGAATCTAAGTGTCCTGGCTTTTTGGCCACAGGCATGTAGGCTCAGGAGAGTTCCTTGGGTTCATTCTTTTTTTTTTTTTTTTTTTTCAGGAATTGAACTCAGGACCTTGCACCTGCCAGGCAGGCACTTGTGCCACTGAGTTATATCCCCAGCCCATTGATTGATAGGTCTGTTTTTTTTTTTTTTTTTTTTTTTTGTCTTTTCCCTGTATCCCTGACAGAGTACAGTCGCTTTGAATCGAAGATACATGACTTGCGAGAACAAATGATGAACAGCAGCATGAGTTCTGGGTCTGGGTCCCTCCGAACAAGTGAGAAGAGGTCCTTATATGTCAGGTAAGTTGCCCTTCTGAGTACTGGGCCTGGTGCTGGATGAAGGCCAGCCCAGCCCTTCTTGTTTAACTTGTGGCCTAAGGAGTGTGTATTCCCAGTACTAAAATAACACTTTGCACTGTGTGCTCAGGTTATATATTTTATGGTCAGTATCTCTTCCCTTTTGTGCATGGCTTCTTCCTTTTGCTCATGAATGACTCAGTATAGGAAAATTTCAGTTTGCTCTAATTGTAAAGATTGTTAGATGATTGTGGCTAGTCAGCCTTCAAAGAGCACACGAATGTTCAAAGTACAATACTTTGCCTGCAATCTGTGCTTTGAGAGGAAAACTTGCCCCCCATCCCCTTGCACATATGTATATTAGACATTAGGATTTGTATCTGAGCATATCATCACAAGGTTCTGGTACAGTACATTTTTGAGAGATCAAAGAACTGACAGGTTGGTGCATTCTGGGTGTTTCATTGTGTTTCCATCCCCCTTCACTGCTGGCTATACTGGTCTGCTGTGCTTGTGAATCATGGGATGGGGTGGTGTGTGTTCCCAAGGAAGGGAGGGGTGAAGGGAACAGATATATAACATTAAGCTATTGCTGCAGAAAGCAATTTGATGATGTGGTCAAAGGTGGAGTTTCTGATCTTTGTGCAGTATACTGTGAGGCCAGATGCAAACCTCTTGGGGTACTGAACTGAAGGAACACTATGAACTCCTCTTAGAATTAGGAATAGTTTCCTTCTTCCTGCCCTGGCTTCTTGGCAAAACTCCAGCAATCTGGTTGCAAGTCCATTGTATCGCGTTAAGGTCAAAACCCTTAGAGAAAGTGGTGGTAAGATTACTCCCCAGAGCCAGAAGTAGCTAGGTATTTTTAATGCTTAGGTGTGGAGTTGCTTCAAACTCTGTGGTTGGACTTTTTCTGGTGGCCTCTGATACCTGCTGGGGGCGGGGAGACTATATTTGCTAGTTGCCTGGCAACATGACGATCGTTCTGTCCTTGGGATGTGAGATGATGAAAGCTAACCGATGTCAATGCTAATTGCAGCTCTCAGGGAGCTTGCTTTTCTTTTTCCCCACTTGGTAGGTAGTCCCTGACCCTACTGCAGGGAGCAGAGCTGAGGGGGCCGTCCCTGAGCCTGAGCCCACTAGAAGCTCTGGACCGCTTTATAAAGTGAACCTTCAACTCTACTCCTTGTCCATGGAGAGCATTTGCCGTGCTCGCCTCCTGCTGTGAGGGGAGCAGAAGGCTGGAGTCTCCCTCCCTGGAAAGAAGAGCCTGTTTGCCGTCAATAAAGCCCTTGCTTCTGGGCTTGTTGGCGCAGACCTGCAATCCTAGCACTGGGGAGGCTGAGGCAGGAGGAGAGCCATTAGTTCAAGGTCAGCCTGGACTACATAGTGAGACCCTGTCTCAAAAAAACAAAACCA